GCCTCATCGTTAAGTCCAAAGTGCGCGATCGTGCAGAATCATCGTCGATTCTCCTTTCTTCGACAATCGACGTTGACGCGTGTGAAGTGGGACTCGAGTAAGAGAGTGCAAAGGGTTAAGGCTCGGAATGACCGTGATATCTTTCTCCTCGCTCCTTGCTTTCTTCTTCTTCCTCCTCCTCCTCCTGCTCTTTTCAAGCAAAGTATCACGCGTGCATCTCGATACACCGTGTGTCCATCAAGTCCCGACGTCGCAGAGTGATATTTCCAACGTACTTTCTGTTTCCTCACTTTTCGCTGCTCCTCGGTCGCTCTTTGTAGAAAAATAAAGAACGTGCTGGCGCGATCACGATCGCTTGACGACCAATGACGACGACGATGTCGGGCGATCGGTGACGACGGATGGATTCGGCCGAATCCGCCGATGATATCGACGATATCGCGATTCTCTCTCTCTCTTTCTCTCTCTCTCTCTCTCTCTCTCTCTCTCTCTCTCTCTCTCTCTCTCTCTCTCTCTCTCTTTGCGTTTCCTTTGTTAATCGCCGGCCATTCCTACTGGTTTGAGTGACAACCTCCACTCTCGTCGATTGCGGGTGCGTGTAATAAATTCTCAGTGATGAGGCAACGGGGGATGGGAGAGGGTTGGTCGTGAAAGCGGTGGACTCGCCGGCGGAAGCTGCGGGACATCGCCGCGACTTTCGTTGAATGATTATCATTCCCGTGAATCCCATTTTTCTTTTCTTGATAAACGATCAGCGGTATTTCGGACCGATATTTCCCTGCTCGTCAAATTTCACTTTTGTAAAATTAGACGGACAAGAATAGAAGAGGGCCGTGAACGACATAAATTTTCTCTCTTGTTACTCTGTATAAATATTATAAACGCCAAATGTCAAAAAGATATTGGGCTGTGCAATAAATAATGTCGATAATGTGTCAAAATGAAACGGAACTATATTTTTATGTCGTTACGTAGCTCCATGAAACGACGTATCCGGAAGCTGGCAGAAAAGATCCCGCAAATCAAAACGGCGCGTTGTCCCATAAAATAATAACGACATAAAGTACTATCGTTACACTTCACCCGAAATATCCGCAATTACTTGTTGCACGAGCCAGTTCTCGATACAAATCGTTAACATTCTTCAAACGAAAGTCAGTGTTTTGACAGGAGCTCAACTCGCGATCACAGATCGCAGGCAGGCCGCATTTTGCGCGTGAATCTTTCAGGGCTCGCGCGAGGCACCGCTGCCTCGTGACTGATTCAAGCGTAACTACCGGCAAATATCCTGGGAAATGCGCGGACGTCGGGAAAATCCTCTCGGCCTTCGCCACAGATAGAATACCTCACAATCCTAAAATGCGTCCGCATGAATTTATGATGAGAATACCCGCGACTAATAAGTATGTACCGTCTCCACAATGGCGTGCGCGTGCCACGTCATAAAGGGAAAGCCCACAAGCATGTCAAAGAAAGAGAAGTATCTGCCGCACTGCTGCGACAACCATTACAGATTTTCGCGAGAGTTCGTTCGGCTATATCTCGGTAAACAGGTTCCAGCTCGGAGCCACGTCTCGTCGAGGAACCGCGCCTTTGATCGCCGTATCATTATGGAATCTTCGGCACGTCCTCGTTGCTGCTTTCCGCCGTCGAGGAAACTGCGGGCGGGAAATGAGGACCGCGGAGGGCGGGAGTAGGGAAGAAAACGGATACGCGACAAGGCGACAGAGAGGCGAGTTGAGACGCTTTTTCGGATTTATACGGCTGCATGTAGAGACGCGCTGATTTCTCTCATTTTCTCTATCTCTCTTTCTCTCTCTTTCTTCCTTCCTCTCTCTTTCTCTCTGGGAGTTCGAAAAATCGGGACGAGACCTACGGTAACACGCTACCGATTATAGCTTGTGACTTGACCAACAGGAAGGCACTTGGGCAAATTACGTGCCGAGTTGGCCGCCGTTTCTAACACGCGGGGCATACACACCATCTTTTCTCACCATTCACCTTCTCGCCGTCCGCTTTTCCACCGTCGCGCACGATTATGCCGCGCGCAAAAGCAGGACGGTCGCGCTCGAATTTCCCCTCTCGCTGCTCTTTCCTTTAATTTCTCGTCTACAGGCTTATATCCTATGATATGTTCGCGTTCGTTATGTATGTATATGTATAAGGTTATTACTTAACGATCATTCTCTCGATCTGGTCGCTCCTCCGTTTCTTCCTGTTGCCATACACACACACACACATAGACACACACACACACACACACTCATATGCATACACGCACACGCATTCTCCTACTCCCTTTCTTTCTTCTCACATTCACGCTTTCATTCTAGCTGCACTTTTAGCAGATTCGTTCTGCTTGCTCTCTCTGTTTCTTTTTCTTGCCATCTTTCCATCTCCCTCCCCCCTCTCTCTCTCTCTCTCTCTCTCTCTCTCGTTCGTTCACTCACTCGCTCGCTCGCTCGCTCCCTTTTTCATTCTCTCATTCATTTCGTCCACATTATGCACTCTAGGACACTAGACTCTCCTTAACAAGATACCATAGTTAAATGTACGCGTGCTCGTTCTCGCGCGACGCGCCGATGATAAAACATAAATACACGCTTCTTAGGGCACCTTTGGTATTAAGCTTGATGTACTCGCCTTCGTCTCGCTTGTTTCTCGCATGTGTATGGAATACGCAATTTCGTGTCGGAGCCGCCACCGGGGTCTGCATCGCGCAATGCCAATCAAACGCGCATCGACCGTGCGCGTGAGTGAGTGAGTGAGTGAGTGAGTGGACGAGCGAGCGAGCGTACGAGCTCGATCGTGCGTCTGCCGAATTGTGTTGTTGTTTGCGGTGTATAAATTTTTGCGAGGCTCGATACCGGGAAGGAAGAATCGCTTTCTCGACCGCCCGAGAGTAATTTGGAAAGCTCGTTTCGTCGATGCCTCCGAATGGATTCCTCCGGAAATTCCCGCTCCTCCGAAACGAGTTCTCGTGGAGCGTGCAATTTTCGCGGCGCATCGCGAATGCATTCCAGGGTGGCATCATCGCGGCGCTCAGTAAACCTGAAAGAACCTCCGCGACTGTCGCGTGTCACTGTATACGTGTATACGCGTTATGTATATGTGTGTCTTTCTCTCTTTCTCTCTCTTCGTCTCTCTTCCCTCCCTTCCTTTCTCTCTCTCTCTCTCTTTCTCTCTGTGGCTATGTGTGAGTGTAGTGTGAACAAGTATCGACATAACGTGCGCGTGTGACTTGAAGAGTGCCTTCCTTCTTTACATATGTATACAAGAAACAAAATCCGCTTCCTCGTTTCGCTTTCTCCCGCTCTTCTGATCTTTCTTCTTATCCTTCTCGAACCCGCCCCTTGCCTCTTATACATCTCCTGTTATCCAGTCTCCCTTTCTTTCTCTTTCTCTCTCTCTCTCTCTCTCTCTCTCTCTCTCTCTCTCTCTCTC